GCAGTATCATATTGGTGTGTTTTTTATGGAGAATTGAGGCATTTTTTCTGTTTTGGCCTCGTTTGGATCCATGAATTGAGCGCGTGTTTAGTTACCACCCCAAAATCCCAAAAAGTGCTACAGTACCCATCACATCAAATCTTGCGATACATGCATGGAGTATTAAATGTAGACGAAAAAAACTAATTGCACAGTTTGGTTGGAAATTGCGAGACGAACGTTTTAAGCCTAATTAGTCCATGATTGAACACTAAGTGCCAAATAAAAACGAAAGTGCTACAATAGCCCAAATTCCAAACTTCCCAAACTAAACACGGCGTGAAAATCCATTCTAATAATCGTAATGTAGATATAGAATAATTAAGCTAATATACTTGTAGGTGGAATATATTTGTATACTACTTTGACCATATGGGGGAGATACTTATGTGTTGCACTTCTACTGCAGGGGAGTGAACCAATGGGTGTGCTATAAGTTGCATAGTAGAAACATAGCATGGGGATCTATAGAATCAATTTTCATCTCCCACCCCATGAATTTAAGATAAACTTATATCTGAATTTTAGAAAGTTATGGAATGTCAAATTCCAAGCTAAATGGTATGTCTATTAAGTAGATTCCAATTCCTCTAAAATGAAAGGATCCAAACAACCCTTTATTTACTTTGGTTCTTGCTTTGAATTTTAGTAGAGGATTAGTGCTACTGATTAACCTAGTCTAATGCATTTCTATGGATCCGATCACAGAACTGTTTCTGAGTTTGTTTTGGTACGTTTTTTAATTTCTCCTCCCAAAATCTTAGGGTCCGTTTGGATCCTTAGAATTAAATTCATTCTAATAATTACAATTTAGGCATAAATTAATTAAGCCAATATAGTTGTATATAGAATAATTCTGCATTGTGTATGGATATAGAGAATTTACATCATACATTTTCAGATTTGAACCAGATGGTGTATATACATCTGTATGACCACCGTAGTATCCACCCCTAATAAAACGGTCTTGGTTATCGTCGGGGATATAGATCCGTGTCTCTTCGAATCATCATAATATTGACTCTGAAATATTCTTAACACCATTGATGATATAGTTATAACTTCAGTTATATCAATATTATAATATTGAAAATAGATTTCTTGCGCTTTTTGTAGAATAGCGGCTGTCAATAAAACATCCTTTTCGAGATACTCTAAATACTCTTTCTTTTTCATAGTTAGTTAGATTACCCCAAAATAATGTTCACTTTTAGAAAAGAAAAAGACCATTTTTCCCTTACCGAACATTTTAAGCCTAATTAGTCAATGTTTGGACACTATTTGCCAAATAAAAGCGAAGGGCAAAACAAATTTTTAAACAAGGGCTTAGATTACTAATGTTCACTTTTAGGTCCAACTAGCGATTCCAACCTAGTACATTTCTATTGTAGTGAAGCGAGTTGAAGAGTGTGCTATAAGTTGAAGAATATAATTATAGCATGGTGATCTATAGAATCCATTTCTATCTCCCATCTTATGAATTTGTGATAGGCTTATTTGTGAGCTTGGGAAAGTTATGGACTGTCAAATTCCAAGCCAAATAGTCTAATCTATTATGTAGATTTCAATTACTTCAAAATAAAGGGATTCAAACGGCCCCTTAGATTTTTTTTTGAGAGTTTAATTTGCGAATAGTTGTATTTTCCCGATCATTTTGGCCAGAATTTGGTCCCCTCATCTCCCAAATGGCCAAATGTCAACCGAAATTTTGCGAACGATGTTTTTCTTTCACAATAAATCAACATAAGCATCAGTATAAACTAAATTTCAGCGAAACCAATACGGCCATCAACGTGGTTCGGTAGGGTTTTCATTTGCAAACAATTGTTTCCCGTAGTGCATGGTTTTGGAGACCCTACATCCAAAGGAGCCCATATGGCGTGGCCCGTGGGGGCGCCACCCGTCTGGGCCTAACGAGCCGAAAGGCCGAACGGCCTTGAGCGCAAGTTGGCTCTGGCCGGCCACCATAGGCTAACGGCAATTTTGCAAGAAAAATGACCCTTTAGTTTACTAATTTCTGCATACGTCAAAAGGTTACACTGTACTACAGATTATTACAATTTATGTTTGGAAAAAGTCTACTTAAGCCCCACCTTTCATACATGATCTACTTCACCCCCCAACTATGAAACCGTCTGTTTTACCCCTGAATTTTCTAAAACCGTCTATTTTACCCTCGGACGGTTTTTGACAGCAGTTACTACAGTAACATCGGGTTTGCCAGCAACGGTGGGGTTGCTACAGTGCCGGTGCGTTTGATTTTTTTATTTTCGGTGAATTTTTAAAAAATTATAGTAAATCATAGAAAAATCATAAAATAAAAAATCTAATTTTATTGGACTCCACATGAGTAGATCTACACAGTGAATATATAATACGGTATGCTTTAGTATAAAATTTTTACTATAGCCTTAGATTAATTAGAAAATCTAATTCTGTAGCAAACCTGCTGCTACTGTAGCAACCCCATATTTACTGTAGCAAGCATGCTGTTACTGTAGCAAACCGCTGTCAAAAACCGCTCGGGGGGGGAGGGGTAAAATAGACGGTTTTGGAAAGTTCAGGGGGTAAAATAGACGGTTTCGTAGTGAGGGGTGAAGTAGACCATGTATGAAAGGTGGGGGGTTAAGTAGACTTTTTCCATTTATGTTTTAACCGTCAAGTTTCTTCATCCTGCAGATTCTTTCTGCATATTTCTTGGAAGCTTTATTTTAGCTTCACTTTTTTCCAAAAAAAAAGAAACTATGTACCTTATGTATATCTATTTCTTGTTTAGACCTCCAAAATGCAATGACAACACTGTTATTTGCACTCTAGTCCTTGAGTTTTAAACAAAATTATGATGCATAATGTTTACCTATGCAAATATTTTTTTGGGTGACTTAAAAGTTTGTATCGCAGTGTGAAATACCGCATTGATTTGATTTTATCTCATGGAAATTAAGTCTCCGTACCCTATGTTTTCTGGAAATCCACCACGTTCCATATGTTTGAGAAATAGCAATCCCACTGAGACATGCAATTTTTATGTTGTTTTAAATATTCCAAAGTCTCCTCAATTAAGCCACTTAGCGCTGCAAAGGCCAAATGTGCTTAATTCGTCAAGCAGAATGATACGCAAATTCGTCTAAGTAATTATCTTACCAATTCGATATAATATAACAAAATGTTTGAAAACCTTTGTATATTGAGCATGCACATAGTAGCACCATTACTACTGCATGATCTACGTCGTGTTTATTAGAAAAGTAATTACCCTGAACATACCCAACAACAACTCTAGAATAATGATATATATATATATATATATATATATATATATATATATATATATATATATATATATATATATATATATATATATATATATATATATATATATATATATATATATACTGTTCTACAGCTGGCCATAAAATAACTTATTCTGTGGTCACTTTTAGTTACGATAATTACTATGCTAATTTACGAGATTACAGTAACTCTTTACTAAGTGATTTACTATAATATTATCGTAAATATCACCGTGAGTTGTAGTAACACGAGTATCGTAAATGCATATTCATGTTATCATAAATTGGTATAAATATTATCGTAAATCAAGGTGGCTATAGAATAAGTTATTCTATGGCCAACTGTAGAATAAGTTTATATATATATATATATATATACACACACTACCCTGTAGCTGACTATAAAATAACTTATTCTGTAGCCACTTTGAGTTACGATAATTACTATGTTAATTTACGAGATTATAATAACTCCTTACTAAGTGGTTTACTATAACGTTATGGTAAATATCTCCATGTGTTATAGTAACCAAACTATTATAAATATGTATTGACATTATCGTAAATTAGTATATAAAATTATCATAAATGGAGGTGGCTACAGAATAACTTATTTTGTAGCTGGCTACTGAATATACTGTCCCTATAAAATTAGTATATAAAATTATCGCAAATGAACGAAGTTGTCGGGTGGGTCCGGCCGTGACGGAGGGAAGCAGACGTGGTGGTGGTCTCCAGCTCCATCGAAGTAGTCAGCCTGTTCGCTTGCTTGTAAACGATCATAAATTTTCAGTTAGGAACAGTGTTTTTCTCTCACATCAAACTAATCAGCAGTAAATAATCCACGATTCGATACGACCATCCGAACAGGCTGAGTGTCGCTCGCCAGCGATCACGCGTTGACGCGCAGTTGATACATCGGCAGTCGGTAACCGGAGTTGCTAGTTTTGTTTTTTCAGCGACTCTGCTAACCGACTGCCGATCTATCAACTGCGCGTCAACGCGTGATCGCCGGCGAGCGACACTACTTGGATGGAGCTGGAGACCACCACCACGTCTGCTTCCCTCCGTCACGGCCGGACCCACCCGACAGCTTCGTCCCGGCTGGCTTTTCATCATTAATCAGAAAATAAAATCCCCTGCCCTTTCATTTTAAGAAAAAGGTCCCTTAACTGACAGATTTGTACGTACTCGTATCTGCCCATACTCGACTTTGCAGTCCAGCCCCTGGACTTCACAGCCGTCAGCCGGCAGGCGAGCCTGATACAGTGGTCGGTCGGTCCTCTTGCTGCAGATCTGTTTTCACGCGGTGGTGGTGTCGTGCTACGTGATCGATACAGAGAGTGAGACCGGGCGTGCACGTCGGCCGTCCTGGATAAACAGCTGGTGCTAGTGCGTGCATGTCCACGTCAGCTGCTTTTATTTGGAGTTTTTGTGGCGTGTTGCCGCTTCTTTGGATAATAACCGCCCAAGCATGATGCACACATGACACAAGTGAAGGGCTTGCTGACCGAGTAGCTTTCATTCAGCCAATTAACCGAAGAACACAGGGACCATTTTGCGAACAGGTGCACTCGGTGGGCATTTATACAGCTCCACTTCACCAGAGCACCAGAGCCCAGAGCCCAGAGTCCAAACAGAGCAAGAAGAGCCGCGAGAGCAGAGGCCATGGCGTTGGACGAGTCGTTCAAGAGGCCGGGCACCGTGCCGTTCAAGTGGGAGGTGCAGCCGGGCATCCCCAAGCAGCAGCAGCAAGACCCAGCAGGTACAGCCTGCGACGTCCCTCCAGCGACTACTCCGAGGCTGGCGCTTCCTCCCGCAGCCCGGGTCGGCGCGCTGGCCCCCGCGTCGTGCCGGCGGGCCTCCTCGTCGGTCGCGTCGGCCCCGCTCTCGCCGCCGCCCCCGCAGCCGTCGCCGTCGCACCGGCGGTCCATGTCCGCGCGCTTCGCCACGTCGCTGGCGCTGATGCCCTTGCCCTTCACGCGGCGGGGACGGGGAGGAGGAGGAGGACGCGCCGGAGCCGCCAAGGACGCCGCCGCCGAATTCTGCCTGCTGTACGCCGAGAATAAGATGGTTTAATCTTTTATTATGTAGATATAAGTAGAAATCAAATGTATGCATGTGATCCTCCGATACTCGTGTATGAACAATCGACGAAAACGAGTGAACAATCGACTTGAACAGAGAGAATTCAGTGCGTAGAGTATTTGGCATGCAACGCAGCTAGCCATCGATGATGTGGACTCGGCACGTTCCGTGTTCACACACGGCACGCTTTGGCGGCCGTAAGCACGTCGTCGTCGTCGCCGCCTTGGCTCGCCCAGAAGCGCGTTGAGCCCGCGTGCCGTGCCATCTGGCATTCTGCCGCTATCCAGGAGGAGCCGCGGATTCAGATTGCACGCACGCACGTCGTCTCCGCCAGGCGCCACACGTCGTCTCCGCCAGGCGCCACACCCAATTTCCCGACGACCGTGCCCACTGCCCACCTACCTCTTGGGCTTTCTGGTACCGCAACCTGGGCCGCCCGCTTTCTACGAGGGCGCCAGCCCAGCCTTACACACAGTGCGTGTGCATGGGCTCTCAACACAAGCCTTTTAGAGGCCCAACCAACTCTAAGCTGAGGGCGGTGGACCGACTCAACTCGGCAGTTAGGGTTGGTGGACCCGCCCAGCGCTCACCGTCAAGCAAGGAAGAATACCGCTGAATCTCAACTTGACAACTCCTGTAAGTTAAGTTCTGTTCTATCCTTGAATTGTTGGTCTGCACTGCAGTCTTATACTCTGCATTCTCATTCTTATCACTAGAACTGCAAAACCTGTATGTACAAACATCTGTTATCACGACAAAACCTGTATGTCACTTACATAGCATATCTCTCCGGCACGGTCACGTGTTCATCACTCACTCACCAGCACTTTCCAGTTCTCACCGACGGGACGTTTGGTTCGTTAGGCGCTCCTAAAAATAGCATCGAATGTTTAGAATCTCTCCGGCACGGTCACGTGTTCATCACTCGAATTTTTAAACCTAATTAACCAGCACTTTCCAGTTCTCACCGACTTCACTCCTGTGTCGGCTGGGCAGAGTTGTGTAATTAGTATCTGATGTGATAGGAATTTTAAGAGTCCTGCGGAGGCAAACAGGCCCCGACTTCACTCCTGTGTCGGGCTGGGCAGAGACTGGGTGTCAGCGCTCATTGGGCTGTCGGTTTTGTCCGTCTTTAACGCGTTCGCTGGGCCCGTCGGGAGCCCCGCGGGCCCACAAGAGAAGCCCTCAACGGACACCGTCCACACTACGGCACAGTGGGCCCCCCGTATGTACCCCATGTGGGACTGGGGTACAGGTAAACAGTTCGTACATGAATGAATCTCCTCCCCTTGCTGATGTTTCATCGCTCCAATCCTCAACAGTCTCAGTAAGAACTCCGTTCCATTAATGTCGCCCGCAACTCGCAACCATCCAACTGCAGGACAACCTGTCGACTGTCGGCTACAGTAGCACAACCGAATCTCTAATATTCCTGGTTCTTGCATTAAATACTTTGAGAAGAGAGTTAAAAAAAAACTTTGAGAAGAGAGAGAAAAAGATATGAGATAATTTCATTTCGGATGACGACGGTTATCGCATATATTTTATACTAAATTTGTAGATTTTGTTTATTGTAATTTCTATAAACGTAATCTACAATTTTCGGAACAGAGAATAAAAAAACCTGTTACAATAAACTACAAACTACAAACCCGACGTGTTGGCACAGAGACAATTAATAATTTACAATTATTTTCTATAGGAAGACAAAGACAAAATTTAATATGTCATGACTCAAAGACAAATAACAAATCATAAAAGTAACAATTTACTTGTACTAGTCAGAGATAAGTGTGGCATGAAATCATCTTAAAATTAAGGCACCAGAAATATAAGACAGCAAAAGGTATTTGTTTACTGTTTTGTTCATCTGGCATGGTGGCATACTTTCACATCTCTTCACCAGATCTGGATGCAACTTGGAATCATGCACCGCAAAGATAATACAAATAAGAACCAATTGCATTGCCATTGCATCGTAGGGACAGTGCCAGCAGGGCAAGTATACTTGTACAACAGAACCAACTCCTAACTAAATTAGCAACACTGCCACAGTGCCAAATCTGCCAACTAAACTAAACGAGCAGCTGTCCACTTCCCACCGCCTGATCTCAACAAAAACAATCATCTCACCAATCGCCACCAAACAGATGAAACCTGCTGTACATACTACTACTACTACTCTGGTGCATCAGTCCATGAGAGATCTCCAGCGCTAGTCGAAACTGGAGGACCGGCTCCAGTAGTAGCCGTCGGCCGAGGTGTCCACGGTGCGCTCCGTGCTGCTGCAGTGCGACAGCGTGTCATCCTCCTCCACTCCAAGAAGCGCGAGGTTCAGATAAGACTGCATGTTCAGGTCAGGGGCCGCTGCCGTGGCTTCCTCGTCTGAGCCGTCGAAGCTGGCGGTGAGCTGTGCCCTCGCCCAGCCGATCGTCTCCTCGTCCCCTTGGAGGAGTTTCAGGACCTGGTTGGTTTCGCAGGGGAGTGGCAAACAAGAATGCTTGGGGTCAGAGTTCTGCACCGCGACGCGAGCCATTTTTTTATGGAATTGAAAGTCTTCTTTCCATGATTTCTTACCAGCGACATTTCAGGTCGAGAATGAGAAGATGTCCTTGTGCAAAGCGAAGCAGCGAGCGTCATCCTCTCCATTTCATCGCAGTCATAATCGTTCCCCAAAAATGGATCAACCAGTTGTTTAATTTCTCCACTGGACAGTAAAGGCTTCGCCTGTTACCATGAATAAACACTACATTAGAATTAGAAGAAAATAGAAGAGAAGAAATAACTGTTCTCATGTGCAGCAGCAGTGGTCGTAGTACCCATTGTACTTTAATATCATCAATATGTACTTAAATAATTAATCAGCAAGCAAACATGTGGATACAGTTCTGTTCTTAGGCCATGTTACTGCAAAAGCCAGCTTGGATAACAAACAAGAGAGTTGTGAAGCACTTACCCAACCGACCAGGCTTTCTTGACCCTTTGCACTTCCAGGTGTAATGGGTCTCCTTCCTGAAATAATCTCCAGTAGAACAACCCCAAATGCATAGATATCAATCTTCTCATTGACCTTTCCATATGAAAAATATTCGGGTGCCATATACCTGTACAAGAGCAGTTTGTTAACCACTACAGTTTTGTTGTTAGCTAACATAACAGCAAACCAGAGCCCAAAGATTGATACAGACCCGAAAGTTCCGGTGATGTCAGTACATGTTAGGTGGGGAGTCGAAGCCGACACTCGCTTTGCTAACCCAAAATCGCAGAGCTGAAATTTCCAAAAGGCAATGATGTCACAACCAGAATTAACAATGACAACTGGTTTTACTAATGGTTGTTACAAAAAAATCACAGAGCCGGAATTTCCAAAAGGCAATGGTGTCACAAACAGAATTAACATTGACAACTGGTGTTACTAATGGTTGTTACAATGCATCACTGCTTACATATCAAGCTAACTAATTAGCCATGTCTCATATTTTTTCCTTAATTAAAAAATATTATTTGCTACATAGATCTAGATTATGGGATGCATGAACTCGTGTCCTACTTATAGCTCCAGGTATTTGCAAACTTAATTCAAATATTTACCCGTGCCCCAAAATCCTCTGAAAGGAGGATATTTGAAGACTTAACATCTCCATGGATCACAGATTGGATCACACCGCCAAGATGGAGAAATTCAAGTGCTCTTGCAATGTCGATTGCTATCTTAATTCTCCTCTCCCAGATAAGAAAGTCTGTGTCATCATTCTTTCCTGAAGATCAATGGCAGTTACAAATAAGAGGCCAGCTAGCAAGAAAGTTAATGATTGAAGAGATGGTTATAGGTTACATCTTGACGCTTACCATGAAGAGCTTTGTCCAAGCTCCCTTGGGGCATGTACTCATATGCCAGCACAAGATTGTAGTTCTCGAAGCTGAATCCCCTTAGTGCAACAATGTTCTCATGTTGCAAGCTGGTTACAATCTCAATCTCCGTAACAAACTCATGTATAGCATCAACCGAGGGTTTCAGAATCTTTATGGCAGAAAATGTTCTGTCATCGAGTTGTGCCTTGAAAACTTGGCTGGTTCCACCCTTCCCAACTAACATATCTGCATCACCATAAAAGAAAGTTTAAGTTTTTTTTATTTGTATTTGCAAAAAGGAAAATGGACACCAAAGTAACGTTGCTGTCAGAGGGAATTACCAGGTGAGTAGTTGGCCGTTGCAAGTTTCAGTTCTTCATAACTAAACAACCTACAAACTGAAGAACACTTCTCTCGAAGTGATTCCAATTCACTGGGAGGCCATACTACATCATAGAAAGCAAAAGAAAACATTGATACTGACTCAACAGCTGTAGTTGATTCAGTTTCAGAATCACAGTTCAACCTTGGACTTGCATCCGATTTCAATGATTTGCCATCTGGGTGGACTGAACTATATCGGCTCGGAAGTCTCATTGCCCATTGAACCATTGAGTTTTTTGCCCATTCCAAAGATGAACTCCTATGATGTCTAAAGATCCTTCTATGGAGGTGACAGCGGTCAGGTCTTCTTTCTATCATCCGTCTCAGTGACATCGGAGAACTCGAGGGTGTTTCAGCATTTCGTGCAGTGTCTTTCGGTGAGTCCTCAGCTTCCGTGGATACAGCAGAAGAACTCCGTTCAGTGGTAGTCATGCTAACTGAGCCATCCTTCTTAATAGGTGATGTCTCTGAGTTCAGATTGATATCACTGGAGAAACTACTGCTACGCCTAATCATACCTCTAATACCAACAGAACGTTTGGATCCCCCAGAACTCCTACCGGGTCGTCCACTCCTCGGCAGCCGGCAGTACAGATCACCATCTCCTTCCAGTGATGGATTGGCTGGTGTATCATCTTTATGACTCGCATTTGAACGCTTAGAATCACCAGTACTCCTGACTGAATGGCCATTCCTGGGGGGCAATAAGCAATATAGCTCCCCGGCCCCTTCAAATGGAAGATCCACTGAATCATGGTCTTGCTTACTAGATGTACTTGCAACAGAATCGCTACTTCTCCCAGGAAGCACACAGTACAACACACTGGCACCCTTACCTGGAAGCTCGGCAATCTCATCTCTCTGTTCAACAATTGGCTCTTCAGCCTTGCTACTAGAAGGATCTGCATCGATCTCAACCTGACCCGTTGACAAATCCGCAGGGACCACGCTTGAGACCAGCTGTTCGTCTTTGATGGTGTCCTCCAATTCACTTCCCTTGGTACCAACATCACGCGTGGTGTCACCCTCACCACCATCTTTAAGTTCTTGTAAAGATAGTGTGCCCCCTTTAGCCTGACGGGCTTGGAACGGCACTACACAATACATCTCATCATCACCGCACGGAAGAACCTCTGCTGAGACCTTGCCTGAATGGACACTCGACTCTCTCCGGAACTCGATCTTGCCATTCCTCACGGCGAGGACCGCACACTTTGCGGGCAGCTTCTTTGCGCAGTACTTTGCAACTTTATGCGAGGACCTGAAGAATGCAAAGCGCCATTTACAACAGGGCAGTGGAGGTAATGATAGAATGAGAAAAGCTTATGGCTTCCGTAGTGGAAAGCACTGAGCTTCCAATGCCGATGGCACTTTACTTACGAAATCGCACGCCTCTTCTTGGCGACGCCGAGGACAACCTTGGCGGCCCCAAACAGGTTGGCCTCACGAACTAGCGCCTTGCACACCGACGAGTCCTTGCAAATCTTGAGCTTTAGATTGATCTGCGCAGCACGCACCAGGATAAGTTACGGACTAGTAGTAAACACAAGAGCCTGTTCGCTTCGCTGGTTGTTGGCAGCCAGCGTTGGTCAGGCATGGTACAGTATTTTCCTTAAAAAAAAAAAGACGAGTCGGGCTTATCAGCCATGAAGAAAGCAAGAAATTTCAGGCGAATTCACCACAGTGGCAAAGCCACGGGAGAATGGGGGCAAAGGACCTCAATCTGGTACAGAAACAAAAGCCAACTTGTACTAGGTCATAGAAGACAGGCCATAAATGAAGTGAAAATTGCATCTTTTTTGCACGATAAATGTAAAAGTCGCGGCAAAAATTGAGATTGTGCCAAAATTTAACCAATCGTACGCGCGCGTCGAATGAGTATCCGTTAGCCAAACGCAAAATTAACCGAAAATTGTGCATTTTGCCATAAAATACGGAGGAATTGCATCAAACCAACTTGAGTAAAAAACGAATCTTTCCAGAGTCAGCACACAAAAAGGGGAGGATATGTATATAAGAAATCAAGCGAGGCTAAAAAAACGAAATGAAAGGGGAGGAAGACTTAGGATGTGGGCAAGGCACTCGCGAAGTCGCAACTCGCAACAATGGAATCAGGGGAGGAGGGAGCCAAGGCGGAAGAGAGACTCGGAGTAGAGAGCAGCGACCTGCTTGAGGTTGCAGAAGCCCTCGTAGACGCCGAGCATGGCCTCGAGGTCGACAGCTGCCGCCGCCTCCGCGGCGGACGCCGGCACGACGTGGACGGCGATGACGCGGTCCAATGGCGCGGCCACATTGACGAGCACCCAGGTGAGCAGCGCGCGGCTCTCGGCGTCGGCCGGCTCCCGCACGCCGACCACCACCGTCCTCCCCTCTGCTTCCGCCTCCGGCGCCTTCCCCGAGCAGCCGGCTGCCTCCTCCTCCTCCTGGGCGGCCGCGGCGGCGACGTCCATGGCCTCGGCTGCCGCCGGCGACCCTTGCTCCTCCGCTTCCTCCCGCCGCTGTGACTGCTGCTGCGGCGGCGCCTGCTTCTTCATCGACGACACCTTCATCTGCACGGCGACGCGGCGGCGCTCGGCGACTCAAAGGGCGGGGGCGGATGCTGCGGCGTGCGTGACCATGGGCACCCCTGCCCCCCGACCCTTGCTCTTGTCCTGTGGCTCCAGCGCCGTGGCCTGTTCCGTTGGACCGGCGCTCCTGCCTGGCAACTGTCGCCCGCCTCCTGCCTGCTCCTCCCCCTCGCCGCGCGCGCCCTCTTGTTCCGTTGCTCGTCGTTGCTCTCTCTCTCCCCTCCGCCTGGGAGGTCGCGCCGGTTCGTGCCCGTGCCCGTTGCTGCCCGCCTCCTCTGGCTGACTGGCTCTGCGGTCTCTCTCTCTCTCTCCTCCGTCCTCTCTCCTCTCCCCTCTCGCAGTCTGGCTTGCTTGTGCTGCTGCGGTTTCTCTCTCCGACCATTTGGGTAGCCTAGTAGGTTGCCAGCAACCGCTCTTTTCACACCGTTCCGTTGCGCATTTCGCCTGCCTGCCACACCCTTTTTCACCCTCTTTTTCTTATTTTTTATTTATTTATATACACTACTATACGTACTGTACATACACAGTGTGGAATCCGAGTATTTACGTCAGGATTTGTTAACTTTTCCGCTTGTTTTTTTGGCGGGTGATGCACGTGGTGAAAAGGCGTGTGGGATTAGCGGGGGGCACGTAGTAGATTAAAGGGCAAGATTCCGGGTAAAGATTCTGGATGCCTGCAGTCTGTGAGAGCAATTAGTAAAGCACAAACACCTAACCTGCCCTCCTTTCCCTAGGCCATGTTTAGTTCCTTAAAATCCTGGATGCCTGCAGTCTGTGAGACTGCGCCGGGCCAATTAAATTACCGAAATCAAAAAAACACCTAACCTGCCCTTTAACATTTTTCCCTAGTTCCTTCCATCAATAAATCGAGCTCAGTAGTCTGTCAGGACCGCCTGAATTTGGCGGCCATCATCTAGCCCTAGTTCCCTTCCATCACTAGATCGAGCTCGGTCTGTCAGGAAATGACCATCATTAGATCGTTAACCCCCTTCCAAGATGGTAATAATGCAGCGGTTAGCCATCGGTAATAATCTCCTGTGCGGCTCTGACAAGAAATGAGGAAAAATGTGCTGATGATGCCTCTGCTGCTGCAATTCTGACAGGAAAAGTACTCCTCGTCAAGTGTAGTACTAGTAGAAATTGTTTTGGTCAAATCTGACGGGTGGAGTAAACCCGAAGGCCGAAGCTAAATGGCGACGAAAAGGTCGTAGCAGGTCTACGCTGGTCTTCGTTTGCCTTCTTTTGATTGGATGGATGGATAACCTCTGTTTGGATTTTGGAAGTGAGCAGGAAGGTCACACACTCGCTGGTCTGGTGACTCTGGTCAGCCCATCCTGACTGCATATGCAAGTTCTTATATAGAGGATGGAATCAATCAGAAATTTTGCATTGCTGCCTTTTCTCTTACTACATCTCTAATCTCTTCAATTCCTAACTTTTTAAAAGAAAAAAAGAAGCAGAAGGAGAAGGAGAAGGAGAAGGAGAAGGAGCTCACATCTGTTGACAAAGGAATCAACACGATAATACTGAGCTTCTAGACTGAAAGCCTTGCGGAATAAAAAGACCTTCTGGACTAAGAGCCTGTGTTCCCACCGCAGAGTATATATTCAGCTGGGCTCCAGAGAAAAGAAGAAGAAGAATCGAAACAAGGATTCAGCCCTTCAGCCACAAGCCGCTGAAAACAAACTACAAACCTTACACAAATTTAAGAACGGATTAACAGCCTTGTCTGCTAGTAAGTCATACTGGTTGGTGACTCAATTTAAAACCTGATGAAGAAACCAGCAGAAATGGTCCAGGGGACTAACGCCCTGTTCTGAAACACTACTTCTATCAATACTTTTCAACGAACGAACATTATTTTTCTCTCACAACAAATCGGTAGCATAAATTCTATGAATCGTACCAAGATTTTGCCTTGACGTACAGCGAGGGCATGCTATGCAAATTCCTCTGTCAAGTCTAGAAAGAACAAAAGGGAAACTAATACATACATACATACATACATACATACATACATACATACCATACATACATACATACATACATACATACAGTAAGACCATGCTAGGTAGGTAGGTAGGTAGGTATTTGCTATGTTAGCTCCTAGAGAGATGGCGACGTACAAGGCTCGGGCTGGCCTTAAACGTTGGAATCAGCAGAAATAATGTAGATCACGAGCAGGCACAACTAGGATCAAAATGTCAAGGACTAGTGGACCCCATCAGACGAACTTTAAGGGAAGCAAATGGTAACCACGAACTGCTTGCAATAGCGATTGAGCGGCCCTATACGTAAACCACTTGCGTATGTGACAACTGACAAAGAAGTAAACCGGTTGCCGGTGCGTATATGTGTTTTTCTTTCTTTTTTGAAAACTCGGCGCATATGTGTTGTGTCACCACGAAGTACAAACCGTAAGTCCTAGGTATAGATCAGAGGGTACTAGTCCTGGGCAAATTTTTCGAACGAAAAAATCGAGGATCGGTTCTCATTTCCGAGGAACCGAAATTTGTTCGGTAAAATCGGTTCCCCCTCGGTTAACCGAACTAACCGAGGAACCGAAAATAGTGTAGTAGTGTGCTGTCTTAGTGTCTTGCACTTTTACTGAATGCTAATGCCTTGCTTTAGAAGTTAGCACTCTATTTATGTATTTGTTACTCTGTTTGACTATTATATTTGTCACTATGGTTTTGTATGCAATCCTGCTGAAATGCTATTAAAATTTGCTATTGAACATGCTGTTACATGGATTTTGGGTATTGTTCGGTTTTTCGGTTCTACCCGGAACCGAACCGAAAGAATCGATACCGAACTTGGTCGGTTCCATGTTTTTTGAAGAATCGATTGGTACTGGTTTTCTAAGAACCGAACTTCTTCAAGAACCGAAGAACCGATTGGTTCGGTTTGGTAGAACCGAACGCCCAGGGCTAGAGGGTATTGCCCTGTTCGCTTGGCTGATAAGTCATGGCTGAAAGTACTGTTGGCTGATTTGTTATGAGAGAAAAATACTATTGATTGGCTGAAAAGGTACGGCTTATAAGCCAAGCGAACATGACGTATATCTTCACTAAAATCGGGATAAAACAAGTAGATCGACCTAGAACATGTACTAAAGAGAGGGATAGAAATGGGTGACCATTGGGCTTGGTGGACGAGGTGGCCATGGCGGTGAAGAGGACGTTGTCGAGTCGGCGGTCGATGAGAGCCCCCAGCCTAGTCACCGGGGTCCTACATGCGCGAATGACGCGCTTCTGTTCTCTGACACACCCTATAGATCGGATTAGGGTTTGTAGGTGGGGTTTGTAGCGGCGTCGGTGAACCTCGTACCTTGAGCCCTCCGGCCCCCCACCTTCTCTATATATATGGCAGGCATGACGGTGGGCCAGACCATGTGTGTGGGTGGGCACCCCGATCATTCTTTGGTTGTTGGACCAAGTCGGAGGAGATCAACCTAACATTCTCCACCTTGATCTCTACTTATGACTTAAACTTAAATTCTTATCTCAGCCCATTCCATCATAGATGAATGTATAGAGCATGACCTCGTCATAACAGTTAGTACCATTATATTAACAGCTACAATACACCTCTCTGTTTTAAAACAATTCTCAACTAGGTCCTTATTGTCCAGGGATCATAGGCTTTCCCATAAATCCATGTCGGCTAAGTGTTCTCTGAACACATTAGGCGGTAAGCCTTTTGTAAGTGGATCTGTAAGCATTTTATTTGTACTTACATGCTCGAGACTAATAGAATGATCCCAAACTTTGTCTTTCACAACATAAAATTTTATATCAATGTGTTTGGCAGCACTACTTGACTTATTGTTGTGAGTATAACATATTGCTGGCTCATTGTCGCAGCACAACTTGAGTGGCCAATGAATGTCGTCGACCACTTTCAATCCGAGCATAAATTTCTTTAGCCAATTCACCTGCCCCGTGGCCTCATAACATGCTACAAACTCAGCATACATCGTGGACGATGCAATGATGGTTTGCTTGGAGCTTTTTCACGATATAGTTCCTCCTGCGAGAGTTAAAACATAGTTTGATGTGGATTTTCTATCATCTACATTCCCGCAAAATCTAAATCTGAATACCCCTCTATATGTATGGAATCAGATCTTCTGTATATTAGCATGAGGCCTTTTGTGTCTTGTAAATAACATAAAGCTTTCTTTACCATTCTCCAGTGTTCTATTCCTGGATTACTCTGATATCTGCCAAGTATCCCGATAATAAAAGCTAAGTCAGGGCGTGTACATACTTGAGCATACTACAAGCTTCCGACAGCTGAAGCATATGGAACCGCTTTCATTCAATCGATCTCATATTGGTTACTAGGACATTGAAATTCCTCAAAACTATCGCCCTTGACTATGGAAGCAGGCGAAGGCTTACACGCATGCATACTGTATTTCTTTAGAACCTTTTCTAAGTATACCTTTTGCAATAATCCTAAAACCATCTTTCTTCTATCTCGGTGAATCTCTATTCCTAAAACGAATGATGCTTCACCGAGATCTTTCATATCAAAATTTGAGGACAAGAACTTCTTCGTCTCTAGTAGTAGATTAACATCACTACAAGTGAGTAAGATGTCATCCACATACAAGATTAGGAAAATGAATTTTCCATTCTTGAACTTTGCATAAATATAATTGTCATCCACATTCTCTTTAAACCCAAACTTTCTTATTGTTTCATCAAACTTTAAATACCACTGTCTAGAGGCTTGTTTTAATCCATAAATGGATTTCTTCAGGCGACATCCCATACATTCTTTTCCTTTCATGACAAAAACTTTTGGTTGTGCCATATAAACATTTTCATCTAAATCTCCGTTAAGAAAAGCCGTCTTTACATCCATCTGATGTAATTCTAAATCATAGTGTGCCACTAACATCATTATGATTATAAAAGAATTCTTATATGAGACTAAAGAAAATGTCTCATTGTAATGTATTCTTTCTCTTT